CCCACTGCTCTACCCTTGAGCAGGTGGATGTTTATTTTATTTGCATTGGTTTTTCTCTTACTTGCAGCTGAAAAAAAAAAACCACCCTAACTAATGCACTCAAATCGTTTTTAGTGTTGATCTATATTTAGCTCTTACGGAAGGTTCTCTGCCGAGTTGCCCTTGGGGAGGGGACGGATTTTAGCTCGTTTTATTGCTGTGTGTCCTGACGATTTGTGTGTCTACCCACCCGTCAGACAGTGATCCTGGAGGGCATGGGTGGATTTCATTGATCTTTTGTGATCCCTGTGCCGGGTGAATACTTGTTGAGAAGGTTCTCTCTCGTGTGGGCATTATTTCACAGGAGAGGTACTGCCAGGCCTGCTGGTGGTGGTTCATTTTTTTGTTGTCATCTAAATGAATGGTTAGAGCCTTCTTTAATCATGCTGTGTATGTTTTAGCAGTAAAACATGTCTTTAGCAGTAAATCTATCTCACCGTTCGTATCCTGCCTACGGCTTATCGTTAGTGACTTAACATGGACATGGTGCGTCTGGAGTCCATATGCAAGACTCTGACACCCCCGTCCGGGCTGTTTCTCCGTCAACCTGGGTGGCATGGCCAATGACCCGGGGGATCCGTGTTGCCTTCCAGCCCCTCTTGCTGACTCTGCTGTGTGGCTGGCATTTAGCACAAGTGAGTCACTTACAGGCTGAGGGCCACATGCCTTTCAACTTAGACTTCCTGCCTCTCCCACTGGCCTCCCAGCCTCCTCCTTCTCATGAACAAGAGTGTGACCTTAAGGACAGGCAGTATGATGGACTCACTTTGGGATGCCCCTCTTGCTGGAGGGGTTGGGATAACATGAGGCTCTCCTGGTGAGGTCCAAGGGTTCCTGCTCGGCTCTGGTCCGGAGCCTCGGGGTTGAGCTCTTGCCACTATGAGCTCTCCACCCCTGCTCTGCCGCGTGCCCGACTGCATTTCACCTTCCCCCCAACGGCTGGAGAACCTGAAGACGAGGAACAGGAGCTGTATGTCTGCTCTGTTCTTCCTCCTTCCCCCCCTGCTCCTCCCGCCTGCCAAGCAGAGGATGAACGTCGGCGGGTTTTCTTCATAGGCGTGCTGCGAGGCTCCAGCGAGGTGAGGAGATGTGGGCAGCTGCTGTCAGAAGCCAGGCTGGCATCTCCAAGATGGCCTGTGGCTGGGTTGCTGCAGAGGGAGGCTCAGACAGAGTGTCTGCCGCCAGGAGCCGGGAGACAGCTTTGATGTGGGCAGTGTGGGAACTAGCCTGTGGACTGCAGCGCAGGGTTAAACCAGGAATTGGGAGGGGGTTGAGGGAGGTGGGCTCGGGGTTTTCCCATCCCTAGGTCAAGGCTGAGGCATGTCTTGGCGCTTCCCACTGTATCTGCATTGCATCTTCCCCAGGTCCCCCTGTGGAGTGTGTGTCTAGACAGCTATGGAATAAAATGCTCAATTACCAAGTAGGAATTTGGCCGGCGGAGGTATCGCTACATCAAGCAGACAGGCCCGAGATGAGGAGAGAGGCTGAGAACGAGCCCCTCTTGTACCTAAAGCAGGCTGGAGAGCCTGGAGCTCACAGGGCCAGCCGGCACCTGCGGAGAGCAGAGGCCAACTGGCCCACGAGAGGCATTTTGACCTCCTGACGGGCTGTAAATCTGGCCTGGCCCACATCGCCAGCCCCTGTCACTTCCTTGCAAAGATTTAGGCCTACAATTAGAATTCAGATTAACACTGATGAGGAGTGAAGCTCTAAGAGGTGGGAAGCCTGTTCTCTCACTTAGCCAGGCTGCTTGTGAGCTGTGAGGAGTCAGTTTGGCTCTGAGCCTCAGTTTCCACATCTGTAAAATGGGGAGAAATATGCACTAACTGCCAAGGCGGTTGTGAAAAAGGGCTTTGTCACCTGGGGGGTAAAAGATCATTCCTTCCACATCAGTCCAAGCTTCATAGTCTAAGAATCCCCCTTGAGATATGTCCACTTGCTTATTTCTGTCCTATGATTGTCCCTTAGAATCTAGGAGATGTTTCTGTGAATAAAAATTAAACAAGGTGACAATTCAGTGCTGCCGTTGCTGCGGGTTTGGCTCAATGACCGCTTGTGAGCTGAATTGCTTCCCCTTGTGTTGACGTGAGGAGTGGTCCTTGGGGAGACTGTGGGCTTGTATCGCTGGTGTCCACCGGTCCCAGCCTGTATGGTCACTCCAGTGAGTGACTTTACTGCCCTGGAGCCCAGCTGGTACCTGGGGTCCTCTGGGACCTGTTCCTGGCTGCTGGCCTGGTCCTCTGCAGGGAACGCAGCTGACCTGATCCGTACGTGGGCCCTCGATTCTCTCCTTCCTCCTGGGAGCTCTCTCCTCCATCCATACGGCTTCTGCTCCCCATAGCATCACCTGCTTTCCTCGGCCCTGGGTGTGAGCTCAGACTTGGAGACCCAGAACTTGGAGAAGTTGCAGGGAGCGCTGTCTTTGGGCTCCTCTTCCTTAGAAACCCACTGTGATGTGGCCCCCTGGGTCTGGCCCCCTTTCCTAGGGGTGGAGGTAAAGGGAGACGGTTGGAAGATGAGCAGATGTTAATTAAGACTCCACAGTGAGTCCTCCCATGTAACTTTCTGATGTGGTTCCTGGCTTGCTGCTGCACTGATGTGGTCTGGGCCCACCTTCTGTGTTTGAACTTGACCTCTCACCTTGAAATTGGTGAAAAGCCAACTGGAAAACCCAGCCCGGGAGCCATGGCTGCCGTGTCCAGCCCTCCAGCCCAGCCCTGAAGGCTGTCCCTGGGTCCCGAAGGAGTGGCAGTGTTGCCCAGCAGACCTCCCCCAGGGTGGCCGAGTGCTCCTCACCGGCTCTGACTCCTGTCCTCTCACCCCCTGCGGCTGTTGGATGAAATCATCCCCCTGGCAGAGGCAGCTGGCACAGGCCCAGGGTAAACAGGCCCTGCTGAGCTCACTGGCTCACTTATAGATGTGCTCGGGAGTGGGGGCTTGCAGGCCTGCCCTGCTCCAGAGCAGGTCCATGCACTGCCGCCTCGGGGGGCCTCAAGGGCACAGTGTCACTGCCAGGGCAGACGTGTGCCCGCAGCCTCCTCCCGGGGGGCAGGCGGTGAGGGCTGGGAGGCGTGGACTACTCTGTGGGAGTTTAGTTGGTGGGGTCTCCCCCACTGAGTCTGCACAGACCCTGTCGTTAATCACAGTAACACACCTGATACTTACATGCCCCAATTACATGATGTTTCACTGACAGGTGCCATTCACAGAGCTATTCAGTTCCCAAGTTGCTGAATTCTCACATCAAACCAATGAGATCAGTGAACCGCATTATTCCCATTTTCCAGGTCAGAACACCAAGGACCAGAATGGTTGTAAGGTCCGGCCAGAATCTAATCAGGCCGCTTGGTCTGAGCTCTGGACCGTGGCGCTTTTCTAGGCCTCTTAGTGTCTGTGATCTGAGGGGCATCATTTTTCACGTGTGTGTGTGTGTGTCTGTGTGTGTGTGTGTTACTCACCCAGTCGTGTCTCTTTGTGACTCCACGAACTGCAGCCTTCTAGGCTCCTCTGTCCATGCAGTTCTCCAGGCTAAGAATACGGGAGTGACTTGCCATTCCCTTCACCAGGAGATCTTCCCAACCCAGGGATCGAACCGAGGTCTCCTGCACTGCAGGCAGATTCTTTACCATCTGAACCATGCAAGGGAAGCCCTTGAGTTTTCTGATCCAACATGTTCCTGACCAGCATCTTCCTTATTTGGGGTCAGATGGGGTCTTTGTGGCTCAGTACCTTTGTAGTGGATGAGTCTGGGTTCAGTGTTGTAGTTTTAAGCCCCTGGCCTATCTCAAGTCACCCAGTTGCTTGGCACCTCAGTTTCTTCATCTGTTAAATGGGCCCAGTGACCTCCCCATCTTATCAGCTGGTTTCTGCTCTGTTCCTGGCAGAGGCGATGCTGAAATCACAGCTGGTTTCCACCCACCGCGCCCTCCCAGCCTCCTCTCCTCTTTCCTTCTTTATCGAGGCGGACAAACACAAGGACTCTTACGTTGCAATTAGCATGAGGCCTGGGCCAGGTCTTTCCTTTCTGGGCTGGTCCCCGTTGCTTGGAGCAGCTGCTCATTTTGACTCAGGAAGCAAATGCGAGAGGGACTCGGAGGTTTGCCTGGCTCCGGGAAGGAAGGGAGGGAGGAGAGCTTAGAGCTCTCCGGGACAGAAGCCCTGCGCTCCTCAGCCCTTGGGACTCGAGCTGGCTTTGTTTTGTCCTGTTTTTGGTTTGAAGAGTAGTTTGGGGCTCCTGACTCTACTGGCCTTCACAGGTCATTGGGGACCAGGCAGGCTTCGTTGGATTAATCAGCCCCCCTGGGGCGGGGGAAGCAGAGATGGTGGTGGAGGACTTTACCAGGAGAGGAGAGAGCCTGCCTCTTGGGTCTTGGTGTCCAGTGGCCCTGGATGCCTTGCTGTCCCCAACCCCACCTCTGCCCGTCACCAGAATCAGCACAGAGATGCCCTGGACTGAGTCAGGGGAGCTCCAAACCCTCAGAGCTCCTGATTCTTCAAGACCTAGAAGGGACGTGCCTACAATAAGAGGGGGCCAATCCACTCTTCCCCTCCCCGGGGGCTGTGGCCTCTAGATCCTTCCCTGGGACTTCGCTCTCTACCACGCCTGAGGTCAGGCTTGCCCCAATCCTATACTCGTCCTCCTCTGTCTCTTGGCCTCAAGGTTTCAGAGCAAGTCTGGCTGACAGGTTGAAGATGTGCTGAGACCCTGAGCTGGCTGGCCTCCAGTATCCATCCCACGTCTTTCCTGGAGTGCGGCGGCAGTGTGCACTTGACCTGCCCTGATTATCTTGGGTGGGAGGGACGTTAGTCCTCAGCTGGGAAGGGAGGTCACGCCTGACCGTGGTTTCCGGCAAGGCCTGGTGAATACGAGCGGCCCCCGTGCCTGGCGTTCCGTGACATCTGTGCGTTTGCCCGTTTTGCTCACTTAACCCGACGCAGCGACGCCAACCTTGTGTTTCCAGGGGAAGCTGCCCGTGCTACTGCTTGGCCGCTCCTCAGAGCTGCGGCCGGGAGAGTTCGTGGTCGCCATCGGGAGCCCGTTTTCCCTCCAAAACACGGTCACCACGGGGATCGTCAGCACCACCCAGCGCGGTGGCAAGGAACTGGGGCTCCGGAACTCCGACATGGACTACATCCAGACAGACGCCATCATCAACGTGAGCCCGCCTGCCGCAGGGTCGGGCTGCAGTTGGGAAGCTGGGCTGGGCTCAGGAACTGGGGTGAAGTCAAGATCCTCCTGGTGCTTCCAAGGGGGTCCTTTTGAACCCTAAAGCAGACGAGGCAGAAGGGCTGGTCCTCAGCCTTTTGGCAGTCTCCAGGGACTCCTGTGACGGACACTTGAGATTCGCCCAAGCCTGCAGCCCGGAGGAGTTCTCCATCCCCCCGCCGCCCTGCCCCAGGGTCAGCCACCCCTGGCTTGAGCTGCCTGTGCAACCTTGTGGAAGGAGGGATGCTCAGCTTCGCACAGGCTCTGCAGCCCCCAGAGGTGTTTCTGCTGTCTTTGGGGCAGAAAGTCTGAGCACCAGGCCAACCCATTCGATGTCCAGTGAGGTCAGGGATTGTCCCACACAATCTCATTGGTGGAATCTTAATTCTAAGTCACATTTTTCCACTTCAGCTATTTCCCTTTAGGATTGACGTTTCTCAAAAAGCATTTTCCCCTCCATCTGTCTAATAAATAAGAAACACAGCGTGTTTTGTGCACTCGCTGCTTCTAGTAGGCTTAATTCCCAAACTTTCTTGTGATCTGCATGAAGTAATGGAAACAGCAAACCATGTGGATTTTCAGGCCCAGCAGCAAAGTAGGGATCACATAGATGTGGAGGGGGATGGCGCAGATTTGAAAGACTGCCACCTTGAGCAAGTAGGTAGCCAACTTATTGTCGAGAGAGGGAAAATGTGTCAGGTGTTTTGGGAATTTGATGTTGGCTTCTGGGCTTTGGAGAAAAAAAAATCAATATATAAATACCCCATTTATGGTACATTTAAAACTCTCTGAAAACTGTTAAGATCCTTTGTTTTGCCAGCAAAATATTAGGTAGACAGGAAGAAATCTCAGGAAAGAATTTGCACTCAGGGGCATGCCAGGCAGGGAGGTAGATTGGACCATGTAATGATATAAACTCATAACCTCTTAATTTTTGCTTATTTTCAGTATGGAAACTCCGGAGGTCCATTAGTAAACCTGGTAAGTCTTTCAAAAAATCTATCTACGTGTCTTTTTCTTTCTCCCCCTTTTGATTTCTTTTCAGACATGAACTTGCCAAAGCATATTATCTAATCCTTTCAAATTGAAATCTGTGACCGTACTGTACCTTACAAACGTCTCTTCTTATCTTTTCTGGAAAGAGTAAGGCATGCTGGTGTTTGGATTGGAAATGCTATGCCAGCGGACATGCCTGTGTCTCCACGTTACAAGTAAAGGCATTGGAATTCAGGTCTGATCCAGGAGCAGTTAAAGGAGCCAGTCTTTATTTTGAAAGTGTCAGCAGTTCTGGCCTGCCCCCCAGCTGCCTAAGGAGCTGGCTTGGCTCATCCACAGGCTTTGTCTTGGCCAGGAGCCTCCCTTAAGACCTGGCTTGGAATGAGGAGTTACCCCACTCACACAGATGTCACCTAAGTTTGTATTTTATTTAAGCATGAAAAGGGAAGCCTTTGAATCAGATCCTCAGAGCCAGGATGCAGCTCAGAGTCCCCTATCCCAGCCCTCATTTACAGGTGATGAAATCTAAGCTGCCTTGTTTAGCAAAGCGCAGGATGGCAGTGCCTCCTGGATGGTCCCTCGGAGTTGGGGGTCTGAATTCTCAGTGCTAAGGAAAGTGTGCAAGTAGTTACTTACCCTCTCCTGGCAGTTTTCCCCTCTAAGCCCGAGTTGGACAACCCTTAAGAACAGTGTTCAAAATAATGGTTGGATGGCACGAGGGGAGCCTGTTATTCCAGGATGGTTTCCTATGGTGTGGTGTTCACTAAACTGTGAATTTATCTTGAATGGAAGTACACACACTGGCTTCCTCCATGATTTAAAGCTGGTTTGCAACAAGCAGAGGAAATGAGATGTGATTGTGAGATTCCGCCTCTCCCAGAGCCCCGAGGCTGCTTGGAGATGAGGGTTTGTTTTGCTGGTGATGAAGTCTGTCCGCCCTGAGCACTTAGATGGTTCCTCCCTGATGTCAGCTGAGGAATCTTAAGATTCCTGGAAACGGGAGAAGCAGGAAGGTGTGGATAGCCACCTAAAGGTCTCTGAGGTTTTTTGTTTTGTTTTTTTAACTTTTATTTTATCTTGGAGTATAGCTGATCAACAATGCTATGATAGTTTCAGGTGGACAGCAGAGGGACTCAGCCAAACAGACGCACGTATCTGTTCTCCCCCAAAGTCCCCTCCCATCCCAGCTGCCACAGAACACTGAGCAGAGTTCCCTGTGCTATATAGAGCAGGACTCTGGGGCTTTTGGACACGTATTCCCGCCCAAGGAGCACTTGTGCATTTTGAAACTTTCTGATGCTGCGCTTTCACTGTGTTGATCGCTCAGTCCTGAGTCCCGTGGGTGCTGGTTCTTCCATTGCTCAGCTCAGCTTAACACTGCACACGAGGCAGACCTCTCGCTCTGCGACCCAGAAGCCCCATCCGTCTGGCTGCCCCCACCCCAATCATGTCTCTGAAGATGCTCCTGGACGCCTTCCATGCAAATTCTCCACTCTCTCTCGGTGGCTATCTTCAGGTGAACCTTCCTGGGTTCAGCTTTTGCCTTCTGCTTTTCAGGATGGTGAAGTGATTGGAATTAACACACTCAAAGTGACAGCTGGAATCTCCTTTGCCATTCCATCTGATAAGATTAAAAAGTTCCTAACGGAATCCCATGATCGACAAGCCAAAGGTAAAGCAAGCACCCCCGGCAGCCCATCAGAGATTCAGGCCTGGGGCTTGGCTACCCCTCGGAAACTGGGAGGCAGGGAAAATGACCCCTGAAGATCAGCCACACTTTCCTATCAAGAAGGGAAAGGAATGCGTATCATTAGGGCATCCATGTCTGACTGTTTTTTTTTGACCTATGATCATGCATGTTTCATGTGGTTCATCTGTTATGTACCAGGCATGATCTTGGGTGATTTCTGTACATCATTTCACTGCATTATTCATCATGTCATTTAATTCCTTTGCCTGATCAGGTGGGACTTAGTCCCATTTTACTGATGAGAAACTGAGATTCAAGGAGCTCATTCAGTCCACAAAAGTTTAGTGACTCTTCTGCCCAACATCAGGCTGGGGGTTTGAAGCTCAACAGCGTCCCTGTCAGATGTGCTGTTTACCTTCTAGTTGGGGGCGAGAGGAGGCAGGTAGGGTCCCAATCAGGATTTGAACCACAAGCTGAGAGCATCCCTGTATGGCCCTGACTTTACACGACAAACTGGGGGGATGGAACCCCACTGCTCCTGGTGTCCCTGGCACAGCCGCCAACTGGGCTGACCACCTGCTTCCTTCTATGGTCCCACCAGGCAAAGCCATCACCAAGAAGAAGTATATCGGCATCCGAATGATGTCACTCACACCCAGGTTGGTAACGGGACGTCCGTTCTGTCTGTGTCTTAAATTCACTTATTTCTTTAAGTTCAAATATTTATTTGTTTGTTTAAAATTCAAATATTTAATTTATGTGGCTGTGCCAGGTCTCAGCTGTGGCACGTGGGATCTTTTAGTTGTGACACGTGAACTCTTAGTTACCACGTGTGGGATCTAGTTCCCTGAGCAGGGATCTAACCCCGGGCCCCCTGCATTGGGAGCTCTGAGCCTTAGCCCCTGGACCACCAGGGGTGTCCCTGTGTCTTAAATTTAAAACAGACTAACTTCAGAGGACTCTCAAGGGCACCCCAAAAAGAGAAACCTCATTCTGCCTCGAGACAGCTCCGTTTCTGGTTTAAATACCATCAGGAAAGAGAGGAGGGGTCATTAGCCTGGACCTCATGTGGGTTTCACTGGTGGCTCAGACTGCCTGCAATGTGTCAGCCTGCAATGCAGGAGACCTGGGTTCCGTCCTTGGATTGGGACGATCCCCTGGAGGAGGAAATGGCAACCCACTCCAGTACTCTTGGCTGCAAAATTTCCATGGACTAAGGAGCCTGGTAGGCTACAGTCCATGGGGGTCACAAAGAGTTGGACACAGCTGAGCGACTTCACTTTCTTTCATGCTGTTTTATCCTTCATGTTTGTTTCTGGGGTTCTGAGCAGATCCTTCCTTCTGAAAGATTCTGCTTTTCTTTGAAAGAAAGAAAAGAAAGTGAACTGAACTCCGGGTCTCCCGCATTGCAGGCAGATGCTTTACTGTCTGAGCCACCGGGAAAGCCCACGCTTCTCTTTGAAGGCAGGCCTGATGAGCCTGGGTGTCGGTCATCGCCCCCCGCCCCCCACCTCCACACCTTCCTCTCCCCACCTGGTCTGTTGAAACCCACATTCCAGGAGTGCCCTAAGCCCCTCCCGCAGCGCCCCAGAGCGCCCAGCCTTTCCTTAGCTCTGCCGCCTGTGGGCTGGGGCTCCTGGAATGCCAGGCAGGCCGGCATGACTGATGGGCTTGTTTTCCCCGAGCTGGTGAAAGTTGCGGTATGTGGCTGCCAGACGCATGACATACTGGTGTTTGAACCTTGATGAAAAAAGCTGGTGTGATTGTAGGCGTCTTGGTACCTAAGGACCTGGTTGAAACTCTTGGAAGTTAAGTCAGCAAAGAGCAGAACCTGTTGATATAAATACTAATATCTTAATTACTGTAATTAACTGGCTATTAATTAATTGTGAACACGCGACTATTAGTTTAGACATGTGTGATAAATGGTGGTGCCTTTCTTAGCTGGCTTGCCAAGACTGAAATGTGCATCAGGCCTTGTCTTGGAACTCTGAGAGATGGACGCCTGGGGGATGTAGGGAAGGGAAGTGAAGGAATGTGGGCCTGGGGATCCCACTTCCTGGGTTCCTATCCCAGCTCTATTTCCTGGCTTGTGACCTTGGGATGACTTGAGCCCTGAGTGCCACAATTTCCTCCTCTCTGGGATCAGGATAACCGGGTAGGCTTGTTGGTGTGTGGTGAGCACTGAGCAATTTTTAATATGTGTCAAAGCTGGGGTGAATGGGTGATGGCAGTGGTCACTAGCCACAGGGACCCTACCCACTATTTTTCACGTGCTTGCTCAATGCTGGGCACGGGAGATAAGATCATGTGGTCCTCATGACAACCCCACGGCACTGTGCCTGTTTAACAGATGAGAAAAGCAAGGCGCAGAGAGGTTAAGCAACTGCCCAAGATCACACAGTCAGGAAGGGGCAGAGCTGGGGTTCCAAAGCAGGCCAGCCATTACACTGTCCTGACTTCTTAAGTGGTTGTTGTTGTGTGTGTCCGACTCTTTGTGACCCCATGAACCGCAACACGCCAGGCTCTTAAGTGGTTAGCTACTCTCAATTAATTAATAAAAATGATAATGCTAAAACATTTCTTTTGCTGTCATCTGGTAAATCTTTGACTCTAGGAAGTAAGCAATTTGCAGCAGAATCAAAATCCCTGGAGGGGCACTCCCCTGGTGGTCCAGTGGTTAAGACTCTGCACTCCCAGTGTAAGTTCGATCCCTGGTTGGGGAACTGGATCCCATATGGTGCAGCTAAATATCCTGCATGCCACAACGAAGATCTGGCTCAGCCAAATAAATAAAGAAAGAAACATTTAAAAATAATAATAAAAAGGGGACTTTAATATTAAAAAAAAACTGATTTTTTTACATTGGAATTTTACATTAGAATCAAGGATGGAGGAGAAGCCAAGTGGAGCCCCATTGTTCTTAATGGTTAATCCAGGTGTTCTTTCTCCCAAGCAGCAAAGCCAAAGAGTTGAAGGATCGCCACCGAGACTTCCCCGATGTGCTTTCAGGAGCATATATCATTGAAGTAATTCCTGATACCCCCGCAGAAGCGTGAGTTAGAACTCTCTTCCGTTTTCCTGATAACCGTGTGTTTCCTGGAGGTAGGGGGTAGGGGACTGTCCTTTTCATTTCCCCTCAGGTGACCGTGAGGACCCTTGACAGAATGGTCCAACATCTGTGTCCATCCTGCTGGTCGGGGCCTCCGACCTGGCTCAGCTCAGGGCTCGTTGGCAGAAGGGTGCTTCCTGGCTAGAAGTCCTCTTCAGGAGGGAATTAGATGGACTTGCGAGGAGTCTCCGGGACAGACCTGGCTGGGGAAAGAGGGTTGGAAGAACAGTGTCTCTGAGACCTCAGGCAGTGATCCTGGCCTAGGCTGCTAGAGGCATCTCTTCCTGAGGCTAGAGGCATCTCTTCCTGAGGCCTTCTCTAATTATGCCCGTTACCAGTCAGGCCATATTTATCCACACCTCTAGAAAAATAGCACAGGGAACATCAAAGTAACATGGAAAGAAGTTGCTCAACCTGCAATCAGGTTTATTACCTGTGAAAGTGTTAGTCGCTTGGTTGAGTCAGACTCTTTGCAACCCCATAGACTGTGTGGACATGATATCCATGGAGACGTGCTAGACCAGGGAGTGGCCAGCAGACTGCTTCCCAGGGGCCAGATCTGGTCTGCTGCCTTCTTTGGGGTTAAGATTCGATTTTCCTTTTTTTTAAAAATTAAGTTATTTTTTATTGAAGGATAATTGCTTTACAGAAAGATTTTGCATTTTTAAATGGTCAAAATAATTTAATTAAGAACAGTATTTTAGGACACTTAAAAATCATACGAAATTCAAGCTTCGGTGTTATGTAAATGAAATCTTACCGGGGCACGGCCATGCCCAGCAGATTATACATGGTTTGTGGTGGCTTTTGAACTCCCGTGGCAGAGTTGGGTTCTTGTGATGGGGACCGTCTGGCCTGCAAAGACTGAAATATTTCCTCTCTGACCATTTACCAAAAAACTTTGCTGACCTCTGTTCTAGACCACTAAGGAGCATAACAGCTTATTTGATGCTGTTACACACAAGAGTTAAGGTTACAGCAGCAATAACAGAGCGGGTGCCTCACAGTGGAACCGTACCTGGAGGTACTGCTCTCAGAGTTGTAATACCCATGACAAGCAAGCTGGCCACCAGGTCGCTGGCCTGTCCTCACTTCTGTTGGGGTCAGCCTGTGATAAGATCATACAACTGCTAGCACACATTCTGCAGTGTACATGATCGCTGATGTGGCCTAAAAGCCCCAAAAGGCAATTAATGCAACCCATTGGTGGTTTAAGCCATTCACACATAAGTTAGCTACCATCCCATCCTCTTTGCTCTGGGCTCTTGGGTCCTAAACTGTGCCTCTGTAGATGTAAAGTTGCTCCCCTATCCTGGCAGCTACACCAGGAGAAATGGAAACAGTGCAATCACATTTCCCTTTGTGTTGCAGGGGGGGGCTCAAGGAAAATGATGTCATCATCAGCATCAATGGACAGTCGGTGGTCTCCGCCAATGACGTCAGCGACGTCATTAAGAAGGAAAGCACCCTGAACATGGTTGTCCGCCGGGGCAACGAAGACATTATGATCACCGTGATTCCCGAAGAAATTGACCCGTAGGCAGAGGCATGAGCTGGACTCCATGTTTCCCTTAGAGACTCTCCGGTGGACGATGCTCAGTGACTCTGGGGCTGGTGGCACCGGATGCCCAAGACTTGACTGCCATGTTGCTTGTTCCGCAGAAACACTGGCCAGCAGAACCCTTCTTGGTAGTTTGCAGGCAAAAGCCAATGTAAAACGTTGTAGACCCGCAGGCAGAAGCTCTCCCTTCTGTATCCTATGTACGCAGTGTGCTTTTTCTTGCCAGCTTGGACCGTCCCTGCTCGGACAGTCAGCATTTGTCTTCTCCTTTAACCGAGTCACCATCTTAGTCCAGCTAAAGCTGTTGCTGTAACGCATAGATAAGAGGAAGCTCCCATGGGAGCCAGGATGGTACCAGGCGTGTTTATGCTTTCTTCCGAGTCAGCACCCAGAGGAGGGAGATGCTGAGACAACGGGAGGGTGAGCGCTGGCTTCCAGAATGGCCACAGTTGCCTCTTTTAGGAATCTCTTCAGAACTGGGAGCACAGTGACTTGGAGTTTGAGTTATTAAAATACTTGTTCATACTTTGCGTCCTGGCGTCCTTCTTTCTCAGGAATAGCTGGTTACAGTCTCTTTGAATCGATTATCATGTCAACAGCCTGCTCTTTAAACCATGTTGTCTGTGAGGGTTGAGCTTGAGGTCTCACCAGTTATTTCAGAGTCATCCTGGGGGTTCACAAGTGCTGCGAACACTGGGCCTGGTCACCCCGGGTTCCTGAGGAGGCTTGAAGTCAGTTGCCCTTGCATCTGGGGCTTTTCAAACTAAAAAGAGGCTGTCAACCCCACATATCATGCAATCAGTCAGCAAAAAGTCCCTGGGCCTCTGCCCTGTGCCAGGTGAGGCACAGGGCCGAGGTTGAGGGGTGAGTACAGAGCAGAACCCCAGAGCTTCCGTTGAGAGATCAGGTCTCTTTCTGAAAGGGAGACGGTTCAGGAGACCAGGATGCGATCTGAGAGCAGTCCTGAGTCTTTAGAAAGCACAGGCTGAAGCTGATTCCAGCTGTAATGGGCTCTGAAATAGAACCTTAAATCTTGGGGGGTTTGAAGCAGCGCTCCCCTGACATGTCCTAGAACAGACACAGCCTCAAGCAGCTGTGGGCCCCTTTATCTCCATGAAAGCTTCCAGGAGTTTGGGAAGCTGGACCCAGGAAAACTAGAGCTTGGGAGTTTGCACAGACCAGAGTGCCTGCGCACATCACAGAGGGGACTGTTTACAACCGGAGCAGAGGATGAAGGCTTTCTAAGGATCAGCAGTCAGGAGCCGGTACTTGGTCAGGATGGAGGTTCAGTGCCATAGATTAAGAGCTTTAATCCTCCCTTGATCACTAGACCTCGACGATCCATTTGTAACTGGAGAGGCTATGGCAGGTCAAAGGCCCAAGTGAAGTGGAGGCGCAGCAGAACTAAGCCCTCATCAGTACGGATGCTTGGCAGCTGGGCCGCTGGTGTTCTGTGGGACACGGAACGTCCCTCTGCTCCCTGCTTAGATGAGCTCGTAGAATCAGGAAGGAGCCAGCAAATGCTCTCCCTCCTGGCCTGGGTTTTGCGTTCCCTCCCTCCTCATTAAAGGTGGTGACTCAGAGAATGGCCTTCAGCTCCAGGCACTCAGACTCCGATGTTCTGCCTGTGGGTCTGCTCCTCTGGTGGTCCCCAGGGCCGAGGGGCTGCCCCAGCGGGGGAGGATGTGCGGGGTGGCATGTGGGTGGCATCTGGTCAAAGGCGGCCCAGCCACACCTCATCTGTCTTTGGCTTGTCATCCACTCAGGAGATCACAGATGGTTCCTCTGGAAGGAACTGGCCTGGCCGCCGGCGGGCCTGGATCCTCCATAAACACTCAGCAACATCTCCCGAAGGTCCACGGGGCTCTGGGTGGGGTCTGAATTTTGTCTGCCTATGTGGCAACCTACAAGGCTGCAGAAAGGACAGCTTGGGATGCTGCAGGCACATGCTGTGTTTGGTTACAAGCCTCTACTGGCCTCTGGGACCCTCTATCCTCTGGGGGCTGCTTATCCTCGCATCCCATACTCATCCTTTTAGATCTCACAGGATTCCTTAGAATAGATGTTTATTCCTCTTGCTTTGGGCTGTGATGGAGGCCTTTGCAACATGAATTAAACTTGAAACCTGGGAGGCAGAGCTGAGTTGAAAGAGCATGGTTTTTGGAGTTAGATGGACTTGGGTTTACTCTACTGTCTAGATCTTACTGACTGTGTGACTTCTGAATAGTTACTTAACCTCTCTGTGCCTGTTTCCCAGATGGGAATAGTAATAGTACCGACTTCTTATGGCTGTTGTGGGCATTAAATGAACTAATACACAGCACAAGGTAATCACTCAGTAAATGCTAGCAACATATACGTGAACTGTCTTTGAGCCTCAGTTTCCCCCTCTGTAAAATGGGGAGCAATAACAATGTCCCTCTTGCACTGGAGTTGTGAGGGTTAACCATGATAGCACATGCCACTTGGTCAGTACAGCCACTATTGTTTTATTAGCCTGCCAGCCTGATGCTGGGAGAGAATGAGGGTAAGAGCAGAAGAGAGTGACAGAGGATGAGATGGTTGGATGGCATCACCGACTCAGTGAACATGAGTTTGAGCAAACTCTGGAAGATAGTGAAAGACAGGGAAGCCTGGCGTGCTGCAGTCCATGGGGTCGCAGGAGTCAGACACGACTGAGCCACTGAACAATATCAACAAGCTGCCATTGTTCTGGGGTTTAATGACACTCACAGTAGCTGACATCTGTTGGGTGCTTGCTGTGCGACAGATGCCATGCTGAGCATCATACATTTATTAGCTAGTTGTTGAGTCCTCAGTCCAGCCCCAAGGTGGACACTGCATTTATCCCCTCTGACAGTGAAGAAATGGCTGTTCAGAAGTTAGGCCTTTTGCTTAAGACACCGAGCTCACAAGTGGGGGCTCTGATATAAGCCCAGGAGGTCTGAGCTCATGGCTTCTGTACGGTGCCTCCCGGCCCATGTTTGTCTTCTTCGGACCAAGCCCCCTGCTCCCTCCGTCTCTGTCTAGCTTAAATCCATCTCCATTCTAGAAGGTGGTCATGGGGCCCTGCGGGCTCAGCCCCTCTGCTGGGTGTGTGTCTCCTCCTCGCCCTTTTGGGCCCTTCAACAACCACTTCTCTGTCTCCTGCAAAGCTCCCTCTGCCCATCCACCACCTCCCAATCTCAGCCCTCCAGGCTCCAGCCCTCTGCTTCCAGCTTTTGCAAAACTTAAGCCACCAATCACAGGGCACATTTGCATCGCTGGCCAATCCCCACCGGGCCCTGCGGGAAGCTTCGAGAGAGAGGCCCTGAATGCAGAGCTCTCTTTGCTGCACCTTCTAGGCCCAGCTGAGTGGCGGTCGTGCCAGCAGCTCTGGACAGGAACCTGCTATTTTCTGGCTTTATGTCTCCATCTGAAAATTGGAAGAGTGCCCCATGTCTGGTGGGTGTGGCGAAAGGCAGAATGTTTTTACGAGAACTTGCGTGCTGCTCGTCTCCACCCGGTCAACACTTCAGACAGGCCCGAGCCTCGGAGATAGTGCTTTGATTGGCAGGCAAGGGCACTGGGCCCATTTTAGGTAAGTGCCACTGAAGACAGGGCCAGGTTTGCTGAGGTTTTGCAGAAGGGGGCCAGTGCCTGGGCAGGTGGACAGGGCAGGTTCCAGATGATGGTAAAAGCTGCCTTCCCCTTTGAAGGTGGTTATAAGCGAGGTCGGGGCCCCCTGGTGGCTCAGACTGTAAGGAATCTACCTGCAATGCAGGACACCTAGGTTCGATCCCTTGGTCGGGAAGATCTCCTAGAAAAGGAAATGGCTACCCACTCCAGTACTCTTGCCAGGGAAATCCCGTGGACAGAGGAGCCTGGCGGGCTATCCATGGGGTTGCAAAGAGTCAGACACAACTGAGCATCTAACACTTTCACTTTCATACGTGCGGTCAGGGATGTGACGGCATCAGGTTCGCAAGTAGGTTATTACTGTGTCCTGCCAGCACCCATCAGTTGGTGGGATTGCCTGGAGCTTCAGGCTGAGTGGTTGTAAGACTTGGGGCAAAGGCATTTTCAAGAAGAAATGCAGGACTTCCCCGGTGATCCAGTGGTTAAGAATCGGCCTGCCAACGCAGGGGGCACGGGTTCGATCCCTGGTCTGGGAAGATTCCACCTGCCGGGCAACTCAGCCCATGCGCCACAACTTCTGATGCTCGTGTGACTGCCGTGCTCTGCAACAAGAGAAGCCCGTGCGTGTGACTAGAGAGCAGCCGCACCTCGCTGTAACTAGGGAAAAAGCCCGAGGGCAGCAGCAAAGACCCAGCACAGCCAGACATAAATAAATCCATAAATATTTTTTTTAAAAAATGAAGAGGACCTGCTGTCTGGGCCCCACTTGCAGCCACTCTGATGACGCCACCGAGAGCCGGGCTGTGGCGGGTGGTCGGCTCTCAGCGCTGTCCACTCGGCCGCGCGGCCCTGCCCTCCTGGGTCAGCTCCTCCTGCCCCGTGCCTGCCCCCTTGGCAGCTGCGACTCACCTGCTCCACAGGGCTTCCTGCAGCTCCCCCAGGGCCATCGCCACAGGCCACTGCCCAGCTCTCCTGCTGGGAGCCCATGCAGTTCTGAGGAGCTGTCTTGAGATCCGGCCCATGGGATGTGACCAGTTACCAGCTGGATCTGAGAGGGCCATCAGGATGCTGGCTTGCAGAGTCATCCCTCTTTTTTTTCTTTTTTTGGTAATATTCATTTATTTGGCTGTGGCGGGTCTTAGTTGTGGCACAAGGGACCTTTGATCTTCGTTGCAGTGTAGAGACTCCTTTAATTGAGGTGTGTGAACCCTTAGTTGTGGCTTGCAGGATCTAGTTCCCTAACCAGGGATCAAACCTGGGTCCCCTGCATTGGGAGTGTGGAGTCTTAGCCCCTGGACCACCAAGGAAGCCCCCATCTCTGTTTCGAACCAAGCATTGTTGGTTACACTTCTGAGCACATG